GTGAATCATTAATTTTTGACAGACACCTGTACAAAATACTTGGACAAAAGCCAGCTAAGATTTTCTGTTATCTTGCATGTTCTATGAATCTATTCACGTCTAAATGCAGCACTTTTTTTTGCGATGAGGCATTTGTTTTTATACTAAAATATCTGAATTACTTTGAATAAAGCTGGAAATTATGTCCCTCAAAATAATTAAACAAATAAGGCACCAATGTTTTTGTAAGATATTTACATCTTTAAAGGACATTCGGTAGACTGATTCCCCACTGTTGGTTCAACCCCAAAACTTGTTTGTATTCAAAATTAATTATGACAATGCATATTTATATTGAAACAAACTATGATAAAGGGAATTATATTATATAACAAAGGGCAAGGTCACCAGAGTTCAACTATGTTATTTAAATAATTTAATGTTTTTCTAGATTAGTTACACATCACAGTTGAAAACCAATGAATCCAGTATGTTACTTTCCCTAAGCTTTTAAAAACTACTGTATGATACATGTGTTACAAATTCATATTGTACATTTCAGGTGCGTGGAAATTCATCGTTCATGGACGGAAGAATTCTTACCATTTACACACGTTATCTTACGATGAGTCGTGGAGATGGGTGTGTGCCATACAAGATGTTATAGACAGTAAACCACCGATAGAAACACCAACACAATTACTTATTAATGATCTCAGGGTATGTATATGTTCATTTTAAAGGACTAAATTTCACTCGCTGAAGTCACTATTGTCATCATGTGCAAGTATTAGGATCTGTTCAAACAAAAATATAAATGTTTACATTGGAACCAGTTTTTGATTGTTTGCTAAAAGCTTATTTACAGACTAGTTAGTAAATAAAAAAAACAAATTGAAAAATTTAATTTTGTCATGGTTGATCATAAGTCCATGATTTTTGCATGATAATTAACAGTAGAATGCACATATGTTGGTTTTGTGGCAATATACGTGTGTGTATGTGGAGTAATTACAGTATTTGAAAATAAATTTAGGTACACACCAGACACATTTTATAGTTGGTTGTTTTTTTCACCATGAAACAACATTGTATGGTGTAAATAAATTAATCTCAGTGACTGATAATGTCAAGAAACAAAAATTGTGTTGGGAACTACTGTACCTAATTTAGTTTTGGACTCTAGGTGGCGCTGTTTATGAATTTCCTTATCTGATTTACAATGATGGTTTTCACACTCATTAGTGATTAACACAGTTTTAGATAAGAACTATCGGCAAAATATGAAAGTTTGTTTTTTCATAACTGAAACAGTGTCCTATATTTTCATTCTCTTGAAAAACTTTACAAATTCTGCATGTTCACTAGTTTTGCGACTGTGAAATGAACCGTCATAATTTATTGACTTTTAGCTTTTTGTAAAATCTGTATTGTTTGATTTGTTTACTTTTCAGGAAGCCGCTTCAGAAAATAATACAGCATTAATAAACCAGATATACTCACGTAATCCTATACTGAGGAATACGCCCCACACCTTGAAAGCACCGCTGTTACCACTGCCATATGGGCAAATAGCATCTACAGGTAAGTTCTTTATCCTCCATACCTGTGTTTCCTGGCGTCAAGTCACTTTGGTGCTGTTCCTGTTCTTAGTACCAGGCAGGCTCATCACAAAAAGTATATGATTTCCACAGATTCCTTCTTTCTTTCATATCAAACCTCTGTTTAGGGGGTGATGGGACAATTATTTTTATAGCTGTGTATAAATGTTTTCGTATTGCTTTGTTGCAGACTTAGACAAAGGTTATACAAGTTTACAGGAAGAAGCTGTTAAAATATTCAGTACATTACAAGGTTCTGAAAACGTCGGTGATCCTGTTCCTGTCATTCAGGTATGGTTTTATAATGATGTGTATTCATTTTATCACTATTTGGCAAAGTGGTAAAACCTATCTTCACTTGACATGCTTGCTTGTATTTAGCATTAATATTCTTTTACAAAATGAAAATGAAAATGAAAAAATATACATCAGTTTGGATAGCATATGACAATTTTGAAATACAACTCAAAATGCAATATAAAAAAGAATTGCTACAGTTGTATGTGCAAATTTCTGGTACCTTCTTTGTTTATTTTGAGACAAAATTATCCAGTGGTAACCAGGCATGATTGATGAATTGTTATACAAGCAATACAAAATTGTCTAGAACATCATCATGGGCAATGTTTCGATCTAGGGGAAGGGGCAGTTTCCTTAAAATTGTTGTATAACTGTTAACAATAAACTTAATATTTAATTTCTTAGGGTATCATGCAGACCTGCCATGATTTGAGACCGTTACGAGATGAAGTCTACTGTCAGTTGATAAAACAAACCACAGGCATTCAAGATGTTGACAGTCTTAATAATCTTAGGAATTGGCAAATAATGGCTTGTATGAGTTGCACATTCCTACCAAGTAGAAAAATACAACGATACCTCAGATTCCACTTATTAAGGTATTTCTGACTTTAAACAAATACAGTGGCCCCTCGCTAAGTCGCGGGTGTCGGGATCCAAGCAAAAACCGTGACTTATCGAGGGCCGGGACTTACCGAGGGACCTCGTGAAAGAGTGAGGCCGTGCATTGAAAAACATATAAAAAGCACATATAAACCCTCGGTTGTCATGACATGTGTCATCATATGTGTCAGGCAGTATTCGAATAAAATCATGACTATGTTTGCTGTAAACATTGCAGTGATGCGTTGTTTATTTTGTTTGGGTCCCGACTTCGACGGTAACAGCTTCCAAAATGAACCAGTTTCATCGCAATTATAAACTAGTTCGTCAAAATAACCACCTTCATAGATAATTTATCTCAG